GGTTTTGAAATGGACCGGATGACAGATTTGGATTTGGAACGAGTAATTAAATCCGTAACAATATTTTATCGTTCTTCTCCGAAGCATAAATTACGAATTGTCAAAGTTTGTTTGCTTCCTAATCATCTTTTACAGGAAATTAATGGCTTATTTCAAGTAATCAATTTTTATTTCGCATTTAAATCTAAGGATTAAATTTACTGAAATTTTCGCTTTGACATCATGTATTTCGTCTTTTATGACAATTATTTACTTTAAATAAATTTTATAACTTATTGATTGTGATTCAAGAACTTTAATGTTATCTCAAATTTATCATTTTTCACCATACCATAACTAATAATTTTCTTTTAATTTTACCAAATTTTAGTTTTAATCTAATTTTTAAGGCATTACAAAATTTGGGTGAAGTAGTAGCAATGACTGGTGATGGTGTTAATGATGTTGTTGCATTGAAAAAAGCCGACATTGGTATTGCAATGGGTTCTACTGGTACTGATGTGTGCAAGGTAATGATGATCTTTGTGAAAATTTTATCATTTTAGATCACTGAAATGATTGAAATAGCATACGCATATGTTTTCATATAAATTTCATAAACTCAATAATCAATTTTTATCTTTAAATTTAAATAGCTAAAAGGATTGGTTTTGTATGAACTGCATTCATTTAATTAATTGAAATTCTTTTGCGAGATAGTATTCAAAAAGAAGAATAGTACAATTAATTGGCTGAACAATTTTTTTAATAATTTACCTAAACACTAGAAAAAGTATACATATACATTCTGTTAGATATAAAAATATTTAGCTATTACGTTACAGTAGTTTAGCTTTTTTTCATCTTTGTTGTATTTCAGGAAGCAGCTGACATGATACTTACGGATGATGATTTCTACACAATTCAGGCAGCTGTTGAAGAAGGCAAGGGCATTTATCATAATATCACTAATTTTGTACGATTTCAATTAAGCACGTTAGTTTTTTATTACTTTTTTTTCATTCATTTTAGTAATTTTTTATCTTTTAAATAAAGAAATCAAAATTTTGTTTTTCCAAAGTATCATTTTTTATGACTTCTCCTGAAAGCATTAATTTTTTTAAGGATTTTTTTAAATTAATTTTCAATCTACTGTTGATAATTCAGAAGTGTAGCAGCTTTATCATTGATAGCAATTTCAACATTATTTGAATTTGAAAATCCGTTAAATGCAATGCAGATACTTTGGATTAATATCATTATGGATGGACCACCAGCGCAAAGTCTTGGTGTTGAACCTGTTGATAGAGTAAAATTTAACTTAGATAAAGCATATCAATTTTTTTTTTCATTTCAAAAAACTTTCTTTTCTATTCATTTGATTCGATGCTTGTTTTTCCTTGATGAAAACTTTTGAATATATTTCGGAAATATGGGTATTTTTTTTTCATTTTATTTTCTAAATTCAATGGATTTTCTCGCGAGAGATAGATTATTTTCATTTTCCCAACATACAATATCCTAATATAAAATCAATTGACTTGACGAAATTATTGTAAGCAGAAGCAATGCATCAACAAGTTAGATTGATTTATTATTTATTTTCGAATTTTAGGATATAATTCGGCAACCTCCACGAGATGTGCGACAACCGATGATAAATAATGCATTCATAACTAATATTTTTATATCTGCAGCGATTATAATTGCTGGAACACTTTCCGTTTTTTATAAAGAGGTGAATAATTTGCTGAAATTCCAGATCAAAAAAATTTTTTTTTGAAAGCAGTTTTTTTCCTTTTATTTCTTCTTTCTTACTTTCAATCCAACTTTTATCATCAAAGGAATTAAAATTACTAGTGTTATTATCACCTATTAATTACTGTTAACCACTATCATTGATTATTAATTGTACCTCATATTACTGTTGTGACTGATTATTTAATCATTACTTGAATTCCAGAAGTCATTATTAATCGTTAATTAATTTTAACTTATTAATTGTTAAGAATTAGTTATGATTATTTCTCGTATATATATAATTATTTCTGTCAATCATATTTATGGTCTTAAATATTGAATATTGAATAGTGTTAATTTGTTCTTTATCTTGATATTTTCTCGGCTGTAAGTTTTTTTACAAATAATACAAACTGATCTATATTTTAATAAGTGGCTTTGTTTTTTTTTTTTTTTTTTTTAGAATCTTACGAATTTAAGAAAAATTTGGCTAAAAAAAGCTATGACATCTAAAAAGCTTTTAGATGTCGGCAGATAACGAAGTGACACCACGTGATACAACAATGACGTTTACGTGTTTCGTTTTATTTGATATGTGGAATGCACTTGCTTGCCGCTCAAGTAGGAAATTAATTTGGGAAATTGGTTTATTGAGGTAAGCTTATATTATTAATTTCTATATATGAAAAGAAAGATAAATTCAAATTCTCGACTTCTTTCTGATTTCAAAACTTTTTATTTTATTTAAAAAAAATGGAGTGTGAGTTTTCTATAGAGTAAATTCAAGAATTTGTTTTTTTTTTTATTTGTGTATAAATAAGTACAAATGTGAGAAATTTGATTATTTAAAAAAAACATTTTAATGCATTTTTATCTTCCTTTATATAATGTTAAACTGTATTGAATATTATTAAAAAAGGGAAATTATAATTTTGTAGATGTTTCTTTTTTTTTTCTTTTTCAGGAATCGTATGTTTTGTTTTGCTGTATTTGGATCTATTTTTTGTCAATTAGCGGTAATATATTTTCCTCCGCTACAAAAAATTTTCCAAACTGAAGCATTAAGTTTATATGGTAACTTATTTTTCTTCATTTTTTCTTTTACTTACAAAGCTATTCCAATATTAAAATACGAGCAGTAAATAATTAACAATATTAGATTAGCTTAAATTTAGATAATTAAATTTTGGGGTTTTAAGCATTTAAATCTTTTTTCCGGTGCTTTTTTTCTCTTATTCTTATCTCTTAGTTCATTGAAGTTTTGCTCATATAGTTTCTTCCTTTTTTCTTATTATCCTCTACATTTGAATTTATTCCTTTCTGCTATTATTATTAAATTTTCGAACTTTAAAGTGGAAATTTTCAAAATAAAAAACGTAAAATTTTATAAAATACATATGAAAGATCAATTTTCTACGTTTTCTTTTGTTTATTTATTTGTCTAGACGGCGGGAAAGTGTTTTTTATATCATATAATTAATTTATTATTAGCAAATAAAAATATAGGAACTGAAATATATGATATATAAAATATAGGAACTTTTATATAGGAGCTGAATGATGTAATATTTTACAGTAATATAAAGCAAATTCATTCAATTCACTATACCATTTCATCAGCCTTATAACATTTGTGTTTATCACTGATTATTATAGATTTAATCTTTCTCACAGTGCTTACATCAACAGTTTTTATTGTTGCTGAAACAAGGAAATATTTGGAATTAAAAATGAAGAAAACGCCATATACGATTATCGATGAACCAACAAATTTTTGAAACTTATCAATTTATGTGTTATATTGAATAAAATTTAGTTGAAAGTTTTATATCATAAAAAAAAAGTTGAAGATAAATTCTAATGGTCTTTTTCTTTTTCTTCTTCATCTATTGTCACTGATCGGAATAAAATGATTATGTAAGATGATAATATAAATTTTATTATATCCAGGTATCACTGTTACACTTAGGTACCTTGATCATTATAGTTACAGAACTTTAATAACATCTCTATTTATGCAGGTTTTTTTTTTCTCTCTCTCTCTCTTTTACAATGGAAAAATGTATAATTTAGGAATTTGTTGAAATTTTAGAAAATCATTTCTTTCTAATTTTCTACAATATTTATTTATCTTCTTCATTGAATATCTCTTCTGTATTTTTTTATTTTGTACAAATTTGTAGTATTATGTAGGTTATGAACGTTAGGTCCTAAAGTAATTAATAATTGTTCTACAAAATTTTCTACTTGAAAAAAAATCTCAAATTTCTTTTGAATTTGCAAAGTTATACAATGAAATCAGCATCAATTTATTCAAGTTTATTCAAGGGAACTTCAGGGTTTTTTTTCAGATCGATTATTTTATTTCATTATCTTCTCTTGTATGTAATCGAATTACATGTTTATTTTCAAATATTTCATGTCAGCTCGTTGAAATTATTTCCGAATATGAACATTTTCACTTTAAACATATCAGTGTAACTAAATTAGATTATGAATAGGTAACGGCTAATTTTACAATATATATATATATATATATATATATTCAAGTTTGATATTTTTAAAAACAAGAAGCTTCTTTCAGTTTTTTTCAAAGAAACAAAAATAAAGGCCTCTCAATTATTTCATTCTTGTGTTTAGTACTTTTTATTAACTTGCTTATATAAACACATTGCAATTTTTGTTATCTTTATATATATATATATATTTTATTTTTTATTTTTTGAATTAAAAACTGCTAACAGCTGGAAATTGTACATTTATCATTTTATCTATATATTTGTAGTGATGTATGCAAAAGTGGGCAAATATTTGATTCGAAAATTAAGATAATGATAGCAATTTTCTCTAATTCTTAAAAAAAAAACTCCCATTCTCACCAAATACCATCAAAGCCTGATAAAAGACACGCAATAGATAATTTTGTTTTCCAATAATATAAATTTGTTGTTAACTATTTTCCACTTCATTTATTCAATTTTTCATTTATGAAAATAAGTAGAAAAGTAGAAATTGAAAAACAAAAAATGAACGATACAAAGCAGTAACAAATTAGAAAAATATCTGCTAAAAATGGATATTGACGAGAAGAAAGATTTTCATTTTCTTTCCTGTTTAAGCAAATAATTTTTATCTAATTTTCAATTTTTGTTAACGATAAGAAACAATAAGAGATCAAAATTAGGAAACTGAGATGAGTGCTATCGTTTGTTAACAATTTTCCGCATAAATAAACATTGTGGAAACACACTAGAATTTCGCTGTTCTTCGCTTTTCTATCATTAACGCTTTTGTGTACTGATATAAAGTACTGAAATTGAGTATGCCAAAAATTATCATTTTAAATGGAATTGTAAGATGACGAAAATTTCCTTTGTTATTACTATGTATAACACCTTAATATAAAGGAATAGTTTTATTTATAATTTTGTATTTCCTAACTCTTTTTCCTTCCTTTAATTTATTTAAAATTTAAATTCAAAAATAAACCATTATTTCCTCGAATAAATGCATCGCCATATTTGTTTTTCAGCTGTCCATTTGAATATTCCTCCGTTTGCTCCAATGCTATATTCATGAAACCGTCCAAACATGATAAAATACCTGATAATAATAATTATAACTTTTTTTTTTTTTTTTTGATAGGATTAGGTTATATTGCATACCAAAAAGATCTGCTTTACACTCTATCCGATTTGTCATGTTAAACTTTCGGAATGTATTTTTTCTTTTTCCTGATAAAATCATAGTTGCTCTTAAAATTATATAAATTGTTTCAAATTAGAAAGCTAAATCTTAACCTATATCAGATGCCAAATTTGCTCAACATTTTAAGTGAATTTCCACAAATACTACCACTATTTTTACTGCTGTTCCATTTTATATTACAATAAGACTTCTTAAAGCAGTACAGTGATATAAATAATGTTCAGAAACATCAAGTTCAAAAAAAAAAATTTCAAAAATCAGTAAAATCCTCGCATATACCTCGGTAATCGATGCCAGAATTTAGCTTCACTACGACAGGTTTTCCAATAATTTGCTTCAAAAACTCACTTGGATTTTGTCGCCGACTCATCTGAAATTAAAAAGTGAAAAGTATAAAAATGAACATAAAAATTTTCATGAGAAATTATCTTTTCATGACGAATTAAATATTTTAATCAATCGATGAGTTTATATTCTTTCACGTGTTGCCTACCGTATTGCGTGCAACAACCATTTCCGTTATCAAGTTCCAGTTATAAGGATGAGGAACGGTTTAGACACATATCAATGCAATAACATTTAACTTCGGAAGTTTCAATAATTGAAGCAACAATCCGTATGCTGGATGTTAAATGATTATAAGTAATGGGAAGACTGAACATCTTAACTAGGTCAATGAATTAAACCAAATCATCAATTCATCTATCAGAAGATCCGTTACTTCCAGTTAGCACTAATTAATTATAACCATTCCGGAATCTTCACTAAATCCTTGATGGAAAACTGGTACTCATTTTCAGTTAGCGTTAATTATTTATTTCATTTCGGAACTTTATCAAATTGTTGACAAAGCAATCAATAATTATTTCTATTTATCACTAATTAATCATATTGATTTCAAAATCTTCACAAATACTTGTTAAAGGAAACTAGTATCTTGCATTGATATATTAATATATCATCATCATCCATATTTTCATCTAATCACAACTGCTTAACTATTTTCCGAACAGTAAATACAATTTAATCCGAAAAGAATCAAACTTCAACCTTCATTTATCTATATAAATATTTTAATTAAAAATGAATAAAACAACTATGCCGTTTTCAACTTGTTCTTGTATTGTAAATATTTTGGCTGAATGAGAACTCGACTCAATCCAATATTATCCTTCCAATTGTTAAAATTTTCCAATCTAAACGATTAGTAAAAGCTTACATAACAGCAATTAGTCCAACTGTAATTAAATATGTATGCCAAATCAAAATCCTTATTTTAATCTCATTAGAACAACTCTTTCTCATTATTCTAAGACTTAAATTACTCAGTTATCTAAAAAAAGAAAAGGAATTCATCTGCATTACATTATCATAAGGACTAAAAATAATCATATTAAAATTGAGATGAAGTCACAAATTATACCACTTCTATTAAAAGAAAAGGCAAAATGATTTCGATAATTTAAAATTACCATTTTACAGACTACAATAATCAAAAGAAACCTCTCCTTCAGACTCTCTACCTCACTAATTACTCCAACTTATTTATCCATCATTAATTACTAAATATTTTAGAAAGTGTTAATTAGCACTGATAATGATAAGAATCGCTTATAAGAAATGTCAATGCATTATTGTTTGGAACAACATGGAAACTATTCTTATTAACCATCTCACATTCAGTTTTCCTCTATGCTAAAATTTGAAGATAAAGAAAATGAAAATTAGCTTAGTGAAATAAGACAGTCTTTTTGTTTTCTTCCTGTTACATATACATATTTCTCAATCAACCAATCGATCAATGAATTAGCCAATCAGCCAATCAATCAGTTTTCATCCACCTGTAGTTCGTCTGTAGTGTTAGTTAACCATTCAGATATAATGATAAAAAGAATTCCAAAAAAATGGAAATGAGCCCTTCTTTTGTTACAATTCATGATCTCTTTTACATATATTTTTTCAAAAATTACAATTTCCACTGCATATGAAAAAAAAAAAACATTTGAAACAGACAGGTAGACAGACCGATACATACATGCACGTAAATTTCAATTTTCAATTTATTTTCTAAACCAAATCACATAAAGACATAGATTTAAAAGATGATAATAGAGCACTAAAAAGGAGTAAAAAGGCGAAAAAAAGATCCTGAAACAAAATTTGATTCCACATTTTTCTACAAATGAAATAATTTGACACGAAATATTGATTGAATCACATTAATATTACATCACAACATATCATAGATATAATAATCTCCTCGTTCAATTCTTCTCTTTCATTTAACATTCAATAATTCCTTTTTCCTCTCTATTATCCATTCCCTTTATATTTTTCAATGAACAGCATTTACCGCCACAGAAAATAATCACATTTATTTTTATTAGATTTGGCACAAGCAATTCAATCACTAGTCAAAAGTCAGATGATACAATAAATGATAAATTAATTAATTGGTGAAAGAATGGATGAGTCGATATCTACTTGTGCCAAAATTTCTTCCAACGACAATTTGTCTAATGAAATTATTTGACATCATCAGGCAGAAAAAAAAAAGAAAAATTTTGATTAGTAAAATGGAAAAATTAAAGAGAAGGGGATGAAGGAAGACATTTGAAACTTTTCATTCTTTTGAAAAAAGAGAAACAGTTGCGATGCAAAGTAGCAGATGATGATAATTAACGAAAACTAAGCTTATAAATTTCAAAACAAATAAAAGAATGGAGTCTAAGTTTCAAAAAAAAGTTCAAAATTACCCAAAATTCATGCAAAATTTTATAAATTTAGACATACCTCAAGCAAATAATTTTCTGAAGCCTTCCGTTTAGGAAGAAATGAAACACAAATGAACTCCAATTTTAAATCTATTACGACTTTTGTAATTGTTTAAATTTATTCGAAGCTTTCTGTTCAATTGAAAAAATTTCCTGGAAGGGAATTTCGAAATTCGATGAACAAAAAGAAAGTCTTTTGGGCTTATATAAAAGAAATAAAAATGATTTTTCTACTTTTTTTTTTAAGTCTGAACTTTTCAAGGAAGAGGAAAACATTATAGAAATTTTGATAATATAATACTTCGCAGTTGTCATCACCCCGTTTTCTTTGATAGATCAGAAAACAAATCAATTTTGCGAGAAAAGTGCTGGGCGAACAAATGAAGAATAGAAGAAAAAAGTGACAAAAGGAAAAAAAAAACAGTACTTTGCTTCGCAAAAGAAATTTTGAGCGGTAACGAAGTCATTTTTTTTATTTTTGTTTTCTGAAAATTTCCATTTTCATATTTAAATTAACCAATTTCAAATTCTAGTATCAATTCTCGCCTTGTCCACTATCTTCCGCATTTTCTTCATATTCTTCTTCATCATCTAAAAATACGAATATTTTAATTTATCACACTTTCTTGCCAAATTTATCAACTTTTGTTATAAAAGATTAATTGCAAAAAGAACTGAAAAGCTCTAAATATACATGTATAATATATTGCTATGTGTTAGCTAGCAATAATTAAGCAATCTATCAAGAATCTAATCAATCAATCAACAAAATCCCTGCTATCATTTTTCTCTTTGTTTGAAAAAGTGATGAAATAATAACAATATTCCCACACTCCGTTCCATATCAATTAGTCATTTCCTTCATTCCTTTCTTTTTTTTTTCTTTTGAGAAATTTCGAGAAATAGCTTCGAAAAACAATTTAATTATCCTTATTTCATTAATTTCTTTCAGAAATCTTTCAGAATATAAGCTTAACATATCAGATAGATATAAAGCATCGAATAGAAAGCAATCGATGATGATAATAATTAAATATTTCACATACCACTCTCATCACCATAATCATAATAATCTTCATCGAGATCGAAGGCATCTGTACAATCATCATTTGGTTTAGGCGCTGTTTTAATGCAATATTCTTCTAATGTTTCCGGCACAACTACTCCATCCTTTTCAGCATCGAGACGGGATGCTTCCACTTGTTTTCTGAAAAACAAATAATTAGTTATTTGGAAATTAGTCCCATAAAATTTTTAATAGATGAAAAGATAATTCCGGATATTGTTTTCACATTTTATTATTTCACAGAAATAACTGGAGAAAAGAATGATTTAAAAAAGAAAATCCAAAAATGTCTCGATAATTATTATAGTCTATAATGACTCGAATTTCAAAACGTTTTGTTCATTTCACGAACATAATTGTTCCATACACATTTCGCTTCTCTCCTAGCAATATTAGAATGAAGTCACGGTATAGCTATATGTAAAATTCGATATCTATCACAAATGTATTGCAATTGTGAAAAATCGTTCGAATCCCAAAAATTTTTTCCAGACAATTCTCCATAAATGCTACAAAGAGATGGAAAATTTTGTGAGATTCCTAAAGATATATTATATGATTTAAGAAAAATTCCAAAATCTCTAATAAAGTTCATAAATTTACCTTACAAGACGTGCATATTCATCATTTTCACCACCTGATTCTTTCCATTTTCTATACATAACTGATGCATCCACATTCGCCGGCGATGAAGTATTTGGTTCATTTAACAGTGATATTACCGAAAGTAAAATTGTCCTAAAATGGTATTATATTTTGTTTATTTTCTTTTCATTCTCGTTCCTTTTCTATTTTTTTTTTCGAAAAATATAGTTAAAAATGAAAATATAGTATCGGCTTCTAAGAATTTAATACTCTAATAAACTTGTCTTCAATATCCTTTCTATATTCTTCAAAGTTTGAATTCATATATAACAACTCAATAACTTTTGAATTTTTAATGTACTTCACAGTATAATATATATCATTTAAAATGTTATCTACAATGAAAAATATTTAGCTGCAACAAAAGTATGAGGCACTTAAATATTGTTTAAATATTAAAACAAAATCATTTGAAAAGAAAACTGCTGCAAAAGTCATGATATGCATCAACTGTTTCAAAAATTTCTCCATTATTTGATTTACCTAACATTTTGCGTCGGATTCCAACGTTCGCAAGCAAGTTCACCACTATGAGGATCATCAACAGGTGGATGTAAAATACTGATACAGAGATCACCGTTCTGAAAATAAAACTTCAATTTTAAGATTTCATATCTTCTTTCAAAAAGTTGAGAAGCAACAAGTCTCATACCTCATATACATTTGGATGCCAAACTTTGTTGAGGAATTTGATCGATGGAGGAGCATATGGATAATTAGATGGAAATTTCAAGATTGCTTTGAAATAGCCACCCTGAAAGCGAGGTCAATCAGTTATTATTGGAATTTCAATTTATGAAAACTAGGAAAAAACGGAATATTCAAATTTCGTGATAGCTATTCCTAAGACTTGAACAAAAGCTTTTACAGGGTAATAAAACAAAATTGAGAATTATAATTTTTCCGGTAAAAATGATAGTTTAACTTTCTTTAACATCAAGAATTATTTTCCAACGTTTCTACCAAACATGAATGTAACCTAAGACACAGTATGTACTTGGTAAAAATATTCCCATCTTATACCAGCAAATATTAATGCATTTTACAAATATTAATTGTGAAAAATAGGTAGAGATTAGACGAATGATACAACAAACATATCAGATAGAACTGTAACTAAGGAAATTTGACCGTTACTGCATTCAAGGTAAGAATATGACAAACAACAGCAACTGAATAACACAATAAGACCGTATCCGCTTACTTTGAGCATCATAGATAATTTCAGTAAAGGAATAAAAAAGTAAACTACACTCAATCTAAATTTCTATTCATTATTCCACTTAGCCAAATGTCAATTTTTTCGATCTAAAATCTATTAATCTCTAATCTCAGATTGTTTTCCTTATCAACTGACTGATATTACAATTACATACCTGATATAGTGTTCCAGGTGGACCATACAAAGCGACAGTCCACACGAACATATTGTCCTCATTGGCCGTCACCGTAAAACCTTCAACAGGTGATGTCTGCAAGCCTTTTAGCTCCAATGTTAAAGCCCGGATGGCCCCTAAAATAAAAATATAGCCTATTTATTTAAATAAACAACAAGAGAAATGTAAGTAATTTCAAACTAGCATAAGTGACTTCTTCAGTTAATTGCAAAAAACTAAAAATATCATCAAATTTCTGTTACTGGACTGTCCGTACAATGGACTGTTTATTCAATACAACCAAACAATCCATGTTTAGCATAAAAGTGATAAGTCAGAAGAAATTCATGATGCTAACTGTCGCATTAGCTGACGTCATCAGTTATATTTTATGACAAACACAGACGAATGTTTTTTTCAATTTTTTTTTAATATTCCAAAACATAAACAACCAAATGAAAAAAAAAAAAAGAAATATTTACCTGCGCATGAACCACTTGTACCCTGAGAACCCATCAAAGATGAAGCACTACTCATTTCGTTTTTCGTAATTAAATGTTTTTGCAAACACAACAATATACTGGCAGGATGGAAATAAGAAGTATCACAGGTAAAACGCGACAGGAACACGCCACGACACTTATATGCCTCGGAACTAAAAAATATAATTATACATATAACTAGTTTCGTAACAACTCAATCGTAATAATCACGTATACACAATAAATATTTACTACTTATAAAGACGTATAACGAATCTGATTAATATTAATTCAGCAAATAAGCTTTAATGCAATATATTGCTTAAATTAATAAACTATTTAACTCCTACATTACTTATTTTAATTATAATAATACAAAATGTATTTATTCATACGTTTAAATTATTTCAATTCATTTAAAACTATATTTACCAAATTGATAAAACGACCGTTTATCTAATTCAACAAATTTTTGTGACACAAATACAATTATCACACATGTATGCTTGGATGTGTGTATGTGTGTGTGTGTTTGTTTGTACGTTTCAACTACATCGATTGACAAATCAAGAAAGAAATTAATCAATCAAACGACAAAAATTACGTTAAAAATAGTATAACAGAATGTGACACGGTATTTACATAAAAATACTTCGAATTTAACAGGATTTAACCGGAAGAAATATTCAACCAACCGGAATAATGAACGAATGTAATTGATACTATATGCTGATAAAGGATTGTTATAAATGGTATTTGCCTTAGCATTTATAATTATTGTTTACAAACAATCTATCTTCATTAAGCTAAAATAAATTTCACAAAGGCTAATAAAGTTTCCCATTAAAAATAACTTGAAAATTAAATTTCTCCCATATAAAAACGATTCTTTATAACTAACAACTACTTACCACTAATAATTTCCATCTAAGATTTTTAATCATCTAATTTGTTACCTACATTTTATATAATTTCATTTTAATTCACTAATATATTGAGAAAAAATAGTTTGCTATGCTAAAATGGAAAACTAACAATTGCGGATTTTTTCATCGAATTAAAAATAAAAGAAATTATAAAATATCTTTGAGCTGACTGCTAGTAAACTTGCTGAAACAATATAAAGATTAATGCGTATAATATGCAAACGGCTTTTAGACTAATAGAAGAGATCAAATTTCTTCCTATCAATAAGAATCATTTGCTATCAATTATACAAACATTTCGACAAATATTTCTCATTCCTCGTTTTAGTATCAAGAAAAAATTGGATATTCTTTTTTAAAAAAAAAAATGAGAAGTTAGCTTCAAAAAACATTCTTTATGGATATTAAAAAATTGCCTTCTTCCTTCTCTATCGAAATTATATGGAAATTAAAATAGTTTTTGGACATTTCGGAAAAACGATAATAATTATTATTATTACAGTCACAATAATAAAAGTATTATGATTACTATTACTATTAACAACACTGCTATTAAACCCTTACTTTCTCACTATATTTCGTCCAGTATTTTATGAATAACTCAAATGACAACAGAGACGATTAATTCTTTGTCCAAGCTACTTTTTTCTTTTTACTACCATATCTAAGATCATTTACAAACAAAAAACTCCTGAAAGAAACAAAATGTAAGTTGAAAAGTTCTGAAAAACGAATCTATTAATAAAAGCTAAATGATAATCAAATTAAAAGAAGAAAGATGTTCCAGTATTAGATTTGAAGATGATACTGGAATATTCCTAATCAATTAACTCATTTCATTTTTTACTTACTTCAATTGAAATGACTAAACTCAAGCATATTATCAATACAAATTAACAAAATTGTTGATATTGAATTATCATTTAAAATACCATCGAATATTTTCTCAATAATGAAACAAAGTTAATTACAAGAATGAAACAAGAAGGAAGCTCCTACAATTTACTATTTTAATAATTTTTACAATATATCATAACATCTTTCAACTTTATCATTTTAATCATAATATATTTCCTAATATTCCATCTACTACAAAATGATATATAACCTTACTGTAGTATGAATTAGAAAATGAACAAAGAAGAGAGAAAAAAAAGTGAGAAATAAATTAAATAAACAAACCTTACATAAAAAATATACCAAAACTGAAATATCAATGAAAGCTATCAGTTTAGGCTTGAAACATCTTTCATACATACTATTCTTCATTAAAGTTTCTCTTTCATTGCAATATATATACATACACGTATACGTGTGTGTGTGTGTGTGTGTGTGTGTGTGTGTGTGTGTGTGTGTGTGTACGCGTATGTATGTATGTGGCTGTCCATATGTTTATTAGTTAAGACAGCTGTTTTTTACTCCTATTTGTAAAGAAAAAAAGAATTAGTCGATTATGCATAAACGTTTATAATAACGAGCATTATATATCAGACATTCAAAAAAAGAAGAGGAAAATAAAGCAAAAAAAAAAAAAAAAATTCAAAATAGGTCAAAAAGAGCAAAAAATATTGTAATATTATCATTTAAATTTTAATGAAATAAAAAAGACAAATAAAAGAGCAACAATTGCTGTATAAAGAAGTATGAAAAAAGAAAAAAAAAACATTTTTTTTTTTTGTGAAGAGAACAAAAAAGAAGGAAAAATAAAAATGACACACGTTTGCATTTTTTTCTGATCAATTACCAATCAAACGAATGTGAAGTTTAAAACAAATTATGCGATTGCAAATATTTATTTTATGCAAAAAAAATTCTAAATGAAAATCAACTGACTTTAAAATTAAAAAATTTTATAATCTTTTTAATGAAATCTTTAATATCAAGACTTTCTTACATTTTTAGAAGTTCAGAAATTACACAAATAACATCATATCATATATCAACATTTCCGCATTTAGTTCTTTTTTTTAATTTGTTTATATCATTTTTTTTTAAAGAATCTTTATCGATAAATATGAAAAAAGTACTTTACAAATGAGATTTGTTCATAAAAAAACATCAAGCACAAATGAGATTTGTTAATAAAAAACATCAAGCAAATACGTCATGTTTATCCTAGTTCTGTCATCCTCTGTTCACAAAAAAAAAACTGAAAAAAATGCTTGAATTATATTGACGAGTACTACTACAAGCGAAAAAAAAAAACCAGTTTTCGAACACTAATTCAAAGAAAAAAATTTATTCGCTTGAAATAGTATGAATTACGATTCCTTAAAAGAGGATAATTTTAAAATTAAACTCAATTTTTTTAATCTACTTACTGAATCGTAAATTTCATGCTAACGCCTCAACAGATGTTTTGTAGAGATGATAAATATTACAACGAGAAGTGGTAATATGTCTCAGCTTTATTTTTAGAAAAATAAATAAAAATGAGAATAAAGGACACGAAGTGTAAAATCAATTGAAATATTAAGACATTGCTGTAATGTATGTATAAATAAAGGTCAAAAAGAAGTAGGAAGAAATGAATAACAAGAGTTAATCAAGTGAATATACAAAATTAAACTTTTCACAGTTTTTTTTTTTATTTGTCCTAGCAAAATTGTTTACTTCACATTTGTTAATATTTAGTTAAATTTATTTTCATTCAAGCGATAAAATTCTTTCCTCCCTTTTTCTTTTTTTTCTCTACTTTTTGTAATACAAGCTAATTAATGTTTAAATGATAGTTTGATAAATTTGGTTCCTTTTATTTATAGCATTTATTTATCGTAATTTACTGTCTAATATGTCAATTAGATTACATTCCGAAAGCTTTTCGTGAAGGAATTTACAAATGAAGTTAAAGAAAAAAGTCAGTTTAAAGAAAAATTCTGAAACCATTTTAGAATCTAACAAGTTTCACTTACAGTTGTTTCGCTGAAAATTGAAGTAAATATTTCCTGCCTGTAAAATTCCTGAAAAACACCGAAATTTAGAAGAAAACCTTTTAAAAATTTTTCAAAACATCCTTCAATATCTTTCAATAATAATTTACTATTTTACTGCTTAATAGCAATTGTACAAAGCTTCTATTCGTTTCACATTTCAATAATAATATATTGTTAGGCTGACTGTATGAAACACATTGAAAGATTTTATTTCCCTCCATTATTCATTTTACCTGAAATAATAAGCAAAAAAGGCATTCACCGAAGAAATCACTAAGATAGTTTGTAAGTTATGTCAGCAAATTAAGCTTAAATTGCTCATAACACTATCTAAATTATGAAATTCCATGTATTACACCAACAATATGGTAAAGATATTGCATTTCATTGAAATTCTAATCAGTAAGAACATTATACTTCCGATGACATTATCATGGTAGCAAGGTTTACTATGACCTTTAATGATACAGCGAGAATGAAATCATATCTTCCCTTTTTCTTTTTCTCTCGTCCTTTATCAAATTGAAAAAACTTTACAAATACAAATAAACTATGAAACTCTACTTTCTGATCTCAGCAACAACTGCTCAATTATATTTGTTTTCCAATCTTTTTTACCTATTCACGTAGAAGGAGGATGGTCAGTGGATAATACAGTGGTAAAAAAAGATAATGGTTGTTAATATAATTAATATAACTGCCTAGTTTGCAATTTTTAAATACTGCCATTCTGACAATTGTTGCAGCTAAGGTCTTAGTTGTTACAGCTATAAGCAAGCAAAAAAAATTTCAAAAAAAAGAAACTTTTCAATACGTTGAAATATATGCCACAAAGCGATCCAGTACCATTTCAAGACCACATTACTGTTCCACCAAAAGGTTCCTGTCATGTCAACGTTAAATGATAAATTAGCAATAGTTAAAAACTATATTAAAACTCTATCTAGAAGAACAGAGCTTTTAACATAACACTGCATGATTAAAGCAGTGAAATCTTAAACTAACTCATATGTCGAAATACACAAATACTGATGAAAGCTTATTAAAAACAAAGTAAAAGTAGAAGTAATGTATAGCACGGGAAGTAAAAGGAGGGTACTCGAAAGTACAAAACATGTTGAACAATCTATTTATAAAAATTATAGCTGTTTTAAACGAATGAAAATTTATACAGTCGAATAAAAGAAATAATACTG